ATTTGTACCTTGTGAGAAGACTGAAGACGACATCACGATTGTGTGCCCAACTCTGGCATGTAATCCGAAGAACGGAGTTTGGTTGAGGGCTTTACCTAGATAGATTGAAAATTCGAAAGAAACAGTGTTGTTTCTTCTTATATAAGACTCGAACTGTACCTCTGGCAACTAACAATTAGAAAGAAACGCTGTCTCTATTTTATCTAAGACTTGAACTGTACCACGGAAAACTAACAATTAGAAAGAAACAATGTTACTATTTTTGTCTAAGACTTGAATTGTATCATGGAAAACTAACAATTAGAAAGAAACAATGTTACTATTTTTATCTCAAACTGGAATTGTACTTCTGGCAACTAACAATTAGAAAGAAACAATGTTGCTATTTTTATCTCAAACTTGAATTGTACCATGAATGTACCATGAATGTATGTTGAATTGTACCGGAAAACTAACAATTAAAAAGGAACAATGTTACTTTTTTTATCAAAGACATGAACTGTACCTCTGAAAAATAACAATTAGGAAGTAATAACTTGTTATTGTTGACTTGGATTTTGCCTCTGGGAGACTTTATTACGTAATATTGTTACTCTTATTATTAATAACTTGAACGCTACCTTTGGAAACTAGTAATCGGGAAGCAATATTGTTATTCTTATTATTAACTAGCCACCTAAGGCGGCCAGCTGTCCGCCATGCTGTGTGAACATCTTTGTCGGCGATTGTATAGTCTCTGACAATCTTTAAATAAGATGGAAGTGTTTAAATTGCATATGACACACAAGTTTAAAAAATGTTGTAAGAGTTAATCACTAAAGTAAGCTATGCAATTCATAAACAAATTAACAAAGGATAACTAAAAAAACAAATTAACAAAGGATAATTGACAAAAATTAAGCTAACAATTAATAATTAGCAAAAAAAACTAGTTAACAAGAAATCCCAAAAAAATAACAGTTAATGTAAAAAAACTAACAGTTAATAACTATAGAAAACAAACTAACAATTAATAACTAGCAAAAAAATAAATAAGTTACTAATAAAAAATTGGTCGAAAGAAATAATTAATCCCTTAATAAATGTGCTTTTGTATTACATATAATTTTATTTTACATTCAAAATTATTATCCCAAACTATTTAACACAGTGTAAGATATGTAATTAAACAACTCTTAGTCTAATTTTTTTCATTGTGTGACGTGAAATTTCGAGATCGTTAAAAGTGTGCCGCAGCAAAAAAAAGGTTGAGAATCACTGCTCTAATGTTTTAAATGTGTGGGGAGAATCGAAATAGGTAATGCCAACCATCATCTATCCCCCAAGATTAAATAGAGTTTGCGAGCTTTATATACTAGTGATTTGATGTTTAATAATCCAGAATTCCATCAGGGATAGCATTCGATGAACGGATACCACTAGTTGCCTCATTAGTGAAAGACCGGGAGAGCTGTATTAAATTCACCGGATTTTGAAAGCTTGAGGGAAGAGTTGTATTGAGTTTACGATTGTGTGTGTGGACTCTCATTTGTTGCTATTAGCAGTCGAGTGTGTGCAGGATCCCGTTGTGTGTAAATGAGATTGAGAAGCAACAGCGCAAGGAGGACGATGAAGCATTCACAATTAGCAAGTCAACTGTTCAATGTGGACCCTACATCGAAATAGGGATGTCCGTCTAAGTAGACGCTTTCAGATCACGTCCACAGATCACCAATGTGGCTATTGTAGATTTAAACTATGTCAACCTTCATCTATCAAAAGGTACCCCAAGATTTAATCGAGTTAGCGTGTGTTATATCTTAGGGCAGTGTTTCCCAAACTTATGACTTTTGTGTACCCTTTCTAAATTTTTCGTAACGTTGTGTACCACTAATTAAAAAATTTATGTGTTTTTTTAAATATATTTATTTTTCTTCTTTGGTACTAAGTTTTGTTAATAAGTTTATTTCCATCAGTTAGAAGGATCATATAGTTTTTGCTTGGATAACAGTTGCTGAGATAAAAAAAAATTGCCCAAAAGTTAAAAATCACAACTAGCTGTTGACACCACTAATTATTAACTAGTAACTCTGCAAAAAATAACCAATAGAAAAATACGTAATCGTAAATTTCCATGGCTAGCTTTGTTTTCAAATAAAATTTCTCAAAATTTTCGTTTGTTGCAAGATATTTTGCATAAGAACGCGCTAATCTGTTCCTGTACCCCTGGGGGTACGCGGACCACACTTTGGGAAACGCTGGGGAATTGATGTTTAATAATCATAGTGGTAGTTATACCACAAATGTTTATATTCTTTTAATGTTTTCATGTTATATGTATAATTAATTTTATGTTATATGTATAGTTAGTTTCATGCTATATGTATAATTAGTTTCATGTTATATTTATAATTAGTTTCATGTCACATGTCAACGTTTATTCTCCTAGTATGTATGTGTGGAGTGTTTGCATGCTCCAGTGAATAATCCATGTATCAAGTGTTGCTGTTAAAAATTAAAAAAAATCTTTTGTTTCAGATGCGAAAATTTGTTCACGAGGCTCACACTTCAGCTATAACACTTGGCATTATGTTTCCGATTTTAGAAACCATTTTTACATTTATCGTCAATAATTTGAACCAACATAGCCAACTGAATTCTCTAATCGTTGGAAACTTGAACAAAGTAATTAACGAAAGGAGAATGAATCCTGATTTGCGGAGCATGGATGTACTTCAACTTATGCTCGACTCTAGCGAGGAAGGTACACACTTTTTTTTCTCCAAAGAGTTTAAAAGTAGTGAATAAGTTTGTCATCAATAAAATTTGATAAATACATTCCTAAAATTCTAATCGCATGCTTTAAATTATACACTATATACCAATAAGTATTTGGACACCTATGCAACTGACTATATCTGCGGGTCCTGAGATACATCACGCCCTCCGCCGGTGTATATAGTGTAGGGAACAACATCGTCGTTAGTCCAATGCAAGATGCCTACTGCACTATTTTGGATGACAATTTGCTTCCTACGTTATGACAGTATTACGGGGTAAACCCCTTTTACTTCCAGGACGAAAATGCCAGCTATCATGTTGTGAGGGTCACCAAGGCTTGGTATGGTGCCAGGTGCCAATGCCAATGGGGTTAATCGAATGGACAGGCCTGCCCAGACCTGAACCTTATTGAGAATCTCTGGGACGAGTTGGATCGCCGAATTAAGTGATGTACTACCCGTCCAAAATGGGTGAAGAAACTTACATGTCTTCTCCAAGACGAGTGGAAGAAAATAACACTAGAAGTCACACAAGGACTTGTGGAAAGTATGCCCCGGAGGGTTCACGCTGTGATTGCCTCTCATGGAGGCTCTACCAACTATTGATTATGAATAAAGTTTGTTTTTCTTTTCAATCACACGTGTCCAAATACTTATTGGTAGATAGTGTATGTTAAGCTTGAGAAAGATTAAATTTGGGGAGCTATCTTTATTTAATAATTTAATAACATTCTTCTACTAATATTTTAGGGAATAGCGCTTCTCTAAGGTATCCTTCATTATAAACGATTGTTTATATAGCGAGTGAATATAGGAAAGAAAAACAAGAGAAGAAAGAAAAAAAGGCAATTAATGAATCAGCGTATTTGTAAATCAAGGACTAAGCCAATTTGCGTATGAAGGAAATCAGAAAGTCAACGAGCTTGTATTTTGAAGAATCAACGGATGAGTAAATCAGTTTAAGAACGAATCAATGATATCATGTGTAGGTCAGTAATTCAGCGAATGAAATATGAAATATTGAAGAAACGAATCAGGAAATAGATGATGTTTTCATAATGAATAAAATCTTAAACTGTCTTTATTTTAAAAGTCTTGTTGAAATTACATTTAAGTGTAAAAACATTTAAAACTTTATTGAGCCATCCTTATAAAATTGTCTGTTATTTTAGCAAACAAATTAACAGACAATTTTGTAACTTACTTAACTTACCAAAAATTTTATTAAAACAAAACTTTAATTTGGTAGAGTATCATTTCGACGGTAAAGTCAGTTCGCAGTTTCATTTAAATGATGTTCAAAAACCTAAAATAATTGCTGAAAAGTAAGAACAAATATAAAAAATAACCATAAAATAATTAGAAAAAAATGTGAGCAAAACTGAATAGCAAAAACTATAATTTGAACCCATGTTTTTAATTCGCTTATGAATAGGATGAAAAACCGAGAAAAACCGCTTTGTCAACTAAATAGCTTTAAACCGTCAAATATACAGAGAAAGTCCGTAAAAAAAATGGGAAATTGTTAGATTTCGCGAACAGCGGTTAAAAACAGAAAAAAATAAGTATTTTTCTTTACACAAATTTTTTCTTTGAAATTTTTTTTTCGATACAATTTACAGTTAGTTTTTACGGAGTAAATTATAATTATATTTTGGTAATTGTATTAGTAATACTTGAAGCTCATGCGTTGTTTGTGTTTACATATAGATAGCAAAAGTAGCACAAAATTGTCGACAAAAGAAGTCGTAGCAAATGCATTCTTGGTTGTGATTGGTGGATACGAAACTACTTCTACTGCTCTTGCTTTCACACTTTATTTGCTGGTGAAGCATCCAGATATTCAAGAACGCCTTTTCGAAGAAATTGACCAAGCTCCTGATAACAACTACACAACACTTCAAGGTTAGTCTTATTATTATTCGATAGTTTGTCTAAAGAAGTTAGAAACCACAAAATATACTTTGATTCTTTTTTATTACGTTTCTTTATGTACATAAAGTACGTATGTAACATACATACGTACATAATGTACCCATGTATGTATTACGTATGTAACATAAAGAACGATAGCATATTAACCAAGCTCCTGATACCAACTACACTACACTTCAAGGGTATTCTAATTATTATTCGATAGTCTGTCTAAAGAAGTTAGAAACCACAAAATATACTTTGATTCTTTTTTATTGCGTTTCTTTGTGTAACATAAAGAACGATAGCATATTAACCAAGTTCCTGATACCAACAACACTACACTTCAAGGGTATTCTAATTATTATTCGATAGTCTGTCTAAAGAAGTTAGAAACCACAAAATATACTTTGATTCATTTTTATTACGTTTCTGTATGTAACATAAAGAATGATAGCATATTAACCAAGCTCCTGATACCAACTACACTACACTTCAAGGTTATTCTAATTATTATTTGATAGTCTGTCTAACGAAGTTAGAAACCACAAAATATACTTTGATTCTTTTTTATTACGTTTCTGTATGTAACATAAAAACGATAGCATATAATCGTGCTAGTGCATTTTTATTGTTCAGAAAATCAGTTGGTACGGTACAAAATTAAGAAAGACCCAAATAACTTTGATCTTCATCAGCATGTAATTAATAAAATTTATAAAGATATTTCTATATTAAATATATACTTGCCTACCTATCCCCAACACGCAAGGTGGCACATAAGGCTTCAAATTTCTTTTTCCTGCCACCCCTGTCCTGGGTTAGTCCTCTTGCCTCCACTCATCCATTTAGCTTTTGTTTGCACAAATCTTGGTGCATGTATCTTTGCCAAGTAGGTCACGGCCTTTCTGTTATGCATTTTCCATCAGGTGTCCAAGTAAAGGTCTGGTTTCTTAGGACAAGCGCCTTATCTGGGCGTCAGCGGCACGTCAACGTCCCGCTAACGCCGACAAAATACTGGTTTGTAAGCTCAAGGCCTGGTTTCTTAGAACTAGCGCCTTATCTGGGCGTCAGCGGAAAGCTGACGTAGAGCTGACTACAAAAAAATACTTTTTTGTTAGCTCAGC